AAAAGGGAAGGAAAGAGGAGATGCAGACATAGCCAAGATGGAGTTCACCAACAACTCCAATTCTGGGTCCCTAAACACAAGTTGGGCCAGCCCTTGGGCATCCAACTTGGCACACAACTTAAGACCACTGAAGAGGGCCAAAGCAAACTAGTAAAGTGGTAGCAGCCTGATACACATGAACTGATACACATCAGAAGGGTCAGACAAGAGCGCCACATAGGGAGTGCAAACCCACAGGATTTTGAGACGTAGGTGTCTCCAACCCAACAGGTAACATGGAAGAGGCAGAATGAATTATCATCGGCCAGTGGCAGACAACAACCCTCAAATCCACATGAGGCGAGAATGGGTTCGGAGGGAATATCCATTAGCTAACCAAACCCATAGAGGATTTCCAGGGCCTGGGTGTCCAAGCAGAACACCCAGGCACTGGGGACACTATGCTGCACCTAAAAGTAAGCTGATACAACCTGGGCTACATAGCTGCGAAGGTTGACCTCGATGCACTGTATATACGAGCACGTGGGCCACCAGGGCGTGCCACCGGCCAATGCTCGCTCCCAACCTGGGCCAAGACACAGGAACAATGAGACACTTGACTCATCCAAGGTGAGGGACACCCCAAGTAGGGAGAACTTTTAAGAGAGTGAACTCCCAAACACAACAGAGAAGGGAATGCGGGAATGCTGTCAGTGCAGGGACAGTACTATGAAGTGATCAGGGAAGTTAATGCTGAGCACATACAGCGCTAAGCACTCTTAAAAAAAGCCAGGCCCATGCTACACCACAGTGTATGAAACGAAATACACAAGAAGCAAGTACAAAGAAGCACTTAACTGAAAAGTATCATGGCCAGCCACAGATTGCTAATGATTCTGGGGTCATACTGCAATCCCCAGAAACAAGCTGCATCAGCAGATGAACTGATAACTTGATCCAGTGGACAGCATGAGCCCTGCCCCCCTCCCTTCCCTCTCCAAGTGAGTGGGAGGGGGGTGAGGCAAGTGAGCACACCCTTGTTTAGAGAGATTTTCAATCATTTGTTTATATTGTTGGGAAGAGTTCATTCAGCAGGTTAACACTTTTGTCCGGTAATGACGCAGCATTGCGTGACGTTTTTACTTGGGGGAAGTCTGGTAATGACGCAGCATTGCGTGATTTCCGGCGGCAAATTGGCGACGGTTTCGGGAGGGGCGCGCCACGGTTTTGGACATTATATGCATACACACCTATAGGGAATTTTATTGCGAATACAATGATACCAAAATGAAAGACCTAGGACCAGAATTGAGGTAACAAAGTTGAAAAGAGTATACCCATTTTATTGCTCTTTATTAGTGCTCACTGCGGTAACGCACTGTCACGTTCTTTGTTTGCTGTGGGTGGGACGCCGGGGTTTTGGACTTTATATTTGCATATACTCCTGTAGGGAATTCTAATGCGAACACAATGATACCAAAATGAAAGATCTAGGACGAGAATCGAGATGTCTAAAGTGAAGAGTGTACACATTTTATTGCTCTTGCGCGCTCCCGGGTAACACGCTCTCACTTTCTCGCTGGGCTTTTGGGCTTTATATGCATTTAGTCCTGTAGAGAATTCTATTGCGAACACATTGATACCAAATTGGAAAACCTAGGACGAGAATTGAGATGACAAAGTTGAAGAGAGTATACACATTTCGGTATGACCGCGCTCTCTTTCTGGTAACTTTCATCTTGTCGGTGGGTGGAGCGCGCCGCTGTTTTTGACATTATATGCACATATTCCTGTTGGAAATTCTATTACGAACACATTGATACCAAAATGAAAGACCTAGAACGAGAATTGAGGTGACCAAAGTGAAAGGAGTGTACACATTTTTATCGGTCTTGCGCACTCCCGGGTAACACGCTCTCACTTTCTCTGTTTGTTGCGGATAGTAAGCTGGGTATTTGGACTTTATATGCCTTTAGTCCTGTAGGGAATTCTATTGCAAACACAATGATACCAAATTGAAAAACCTAGGACAAGAATTGAGGTAACAAAGTTGAAAAGATTATACACTTTTCAGAATTACTCCATTCTCCTGCGGAATGCCCAAACCCACCCGGGGTAGTGTGACGCATGTGCGCCCAGAACATGAAAGTGTTAAGTCTTTGGCCTCTTCTGAACCCAACAGTAGTCTGTGTTGTTTGCTGACTTTCTGGGTGGGAGTCATCAACCCGACCACCCCAGTGAGGTGGCAGAGAGTCATCTGCTTGCTGGTCATGTGGGGAAGGTCAGGTTGTGGCACTGGTCATGTGGGGAAGGTCAGGTTGTGGCACTGGTCATGTGAGGAAGGTCAGGTTGTGACACTGGTCATGTGGGGAAGGTCAGGTTGTGGCACTGGTCATGTGAGGAAGGTCATGTTGTGACACTGGTCATGTGAGGTCAGGTTGTGACACTGGTCATGTGAGGAAGGCCAGGTTGTGACACTTGTCATGTGGGGAAGGTCAGGTTGTGGCACTGGTCATGTGAGGAAGGCCAGGTTGTGACACTGGTCATGTGAGGAAGGTCAGGTTGTGGCACTGGTCATGTGAGGAAGGTCAGGTTGTGGCACTGGTCATGTGGGGAAGGTCAGGTTGTGACACTGGTCATGTGAGGAAGGTCAGGTTGTGGCACTGGTCATGTGGGGAAGGTCAGGTTGTGACACTGGTCATGTGAGGAAGGCCAGGTTGTGACACTGGTCATGTGAGGAAGGCCAGGTTGTGACACTGGTCATGTGGGGAAGGTCAGGTTGTGGCACTGGTCATGTGAGGAAGGTCAGGTTGTGACACTGGTCATGTGAGGTCAGGTTGTGACACTGGTCATGTGAGGAAAGTCAGGTTGTGACACTCGTCATGTGAGGAAGGTCAGGTTGTGACACTGGTCATGTGAGGAAGGTCAGGTTGTGACACTGGTCATGTGAGGAAGGTCAGGTTGTGACACTGGTCATGTGAGGAAGGTCAGGTTGTGACACTGGTCATGTGAGGTCAGGTTGTGGCACTGGTCATGTGAGGAAGGTCAGGTTGTGACACTGGTCATGTGAGGTCAGGTTGTGACACTGGTCATGTGAGGAAGGTCAGGTTGTGACACTGGTCATGTGAGGTCAGGTTGTGGCACTGGTCATGTGAGGAAGGTCAGGTTGTGACACTGGTCATGTGAGGTCAGGTTGTGACACTGGTCATGTGAGGAAGGTCAGGTTGTGACACTGGTCATGTGAGGAAGGTCAGGTTGTGACACTGGTCATGTGAGGAAGGTCAGGTTGTGACAATGGTCATGTGAGGAAGGTCAGGTTGTGACACTGGTCATGTGGGGAAGGTCAGGTTGTGGCACTGGTCATGTGAGGAAGGTCAGGTTGTGACACTGGTCATGTGGGGAAGGTCAGGTTGTGACACTGGTCATGTGAGGAAGGCCAGGTTGTGACACTGGTCATGTGAGGAAGGCCAGGTTGTGACACTGGTCATGTGAGGAAGGTCAGGTTGTGACACTGGTCATGTGAGGAAGGTCAGGTTGTGACACTGGTCATGTGGGGAAGGTCAGGTTGTGGCACTGGTCATGTGAAGAAGGTCAGGTTGTGACACTGGTCATGTGGGGAAGGTCAGGTTGTGACACTGGTCATGTGAGGAAGGTCAGGTTGTGGCACTGGTCATGTGAGGAAGGTCAGGTTGTGACACTGGTCATGTGAGGAAGGTCAGGTTGTGACACTGGTCATGTGAGGAAGGTCAGGTTGTGACACTGGTCATGTGAGGAAGGTCAGGTTGTGACACTGGTCTTGTGGGGAAGGTCAGGTTGTGACACTGGTCATGTGAGGAAGGTCAGGTTGTGACACTGGTCATGTGAGGAAGGTCAGGTTGTGACACTGGTCATGTGAGGAAGGTCAGGTTGTGACACTGGTCATGTGAGGAAGGTCAGGTTGTGACACTGGTCATGTGGGGAAGGTCAGGTTGTGACACTGGTCATGTGGGGAAGGTCAGGTTGTGGCACTGGTCATGTGAGGAAGGTCAGGTTGTGACACTGGTCATGTGAGGAAGGTCAGGTTGTGACACTGGTCATGTGAGGAAGGTCAGGTTGTGACACTGGTCATGTGAGGAAGGTCAGGTTGTGACACTGGTCATGTGAGGAAGGTCAGGTTGTGGCACTGGTCATGTGAGGAAGGTCAGGTTGTGACACTGGTCATGTGAGGAAGGCCAGGTTGTGGCACTGGTCATGTGGGGAAGGTCAGGTTGTGACACTGGTCATGTGAGGTCAGGTTGTGGCACTGGTCATGTGAGGAAGGTCATGTTGTGGCACTGGTCATGTGAGGAAGGTCATGTTGTGACACTGGTCATGTGAGGAAGGCCAGGTTGTGGCACTGGTCATTTGAGGAAGGTCAGGTTGTGACACTGGTCATGTGAGGAAGGTCAGGTTGTGACACTGGTCTTGTGGGGAAGGTCAGGTTGTGGCACTGGTCTTGTGGGGAAGGTCAGGTTGTGACACTGGTCATGTGGGGAAGGTCAGGTTGTGACACTGGTCATGTGAGGAAGGCCAGGTTGTGGCACTGGTCATTTGAGGAAGGTCAGGTTGTGACACTGGTCATGTGAGGAAGGTCAGGTTGTGACACTGGTCTTGTAGGGAAGGTCAGGTTGTGGCACTGGTCTTGTGGGGAAGGTCAGGTTGTGGCACTGGTCATGTGGGGAAGGTCAGGTTGTGGTACTGGTTCCCAGTAGCCTGAAGGCAACTATCAGGAGAAAGTGCCAAGCCATTACCACTATATAGCACTGAAAAGGAATCGGAAAAAGGAATTTGGGATGGGATGGGATAGGGGGAAGGAATAGTGTTCAACCAATTGGACGGTCGGGGGTTGAAAAGCAACCAGCATGAAGCGAGACCGTCACTCTACCTTCCAGTTCAGTAGCCTGAATTGAACTCCATGGCTGATGCAATTTAGTAGTTAGGGAGTCATCTCAGCGAGATAGATTTAGGGAACTACAAGGGGCTTCCCGCAGAAAACAACTTACCAATAAGAACAATCTCTAAGGGAGGAGTAAATTTCTCGACCTGTTTTGGCAGAACTCTTCTGATCACTGCAATCTTTAAAGTTTCATCCTGTAGAAGCTGTTGCCAAGGTATGTCGAGCTGTCTAGTGTTCACATTAGCAATACTAGAAAATTTAAAATGATCATGATCCTTCAAGTCATTGTCCTCACTTGCTCCCTTCTCTTGCCCGCACATATTATCACTACAGTCCGAGTTACTGGTCTCTTGCAGGCTTCTCAATCCACATTTACAAAGAACATCCTTAATCTTTTCTATCTGATTAAGCTCAGCTTGACAGTCTGCACCTTCACTATCTGCATTATTAGACTTACTACCAATTACTTCTGTAGAATTATTATTATCATAAACAATGCCACTTAAGATTGGAGATCCATGAACATTTTCTACTTTATTTCTAACATCGTAATTGAGGATTTCATCAAGGAATCCCAGCACCCTCTGTCTTGAGAAGTTGTCATGCGTTACACCAATCCATAAATTGACAGCTCCACATATTCTGCGATTAATAATATGTGGCTTCTCTGTGTAGATTTTTACTGCACCCCAAAACTGGCAGGGAAGTGCTTCTAAAGGCAATTCTTCAACCTGTTTTTCCATGTTAATCTGAAGAAGAAAAACAGAATTATAATGAGTCAATGATATGTTAATAATTATAGTTTCAAGTATTTGCTTCAATGAGTTTAGTGAGGAGAGAAACCTGCATTGAATGTAATGAAATGCCAATTTCTGGGGAAGCCCCTTGTCGCTCCCTGGAGCTACTAACACTGATTGTGTGCCACTACTAGGTCACATCAGCTGTGGCATTCTAATGCCTACCAGAGACCAGAGCCAGAACCAGGCCCCATCAACAGAGGAGCAGAGGAACCAGAACCCAGCAAACTGGGAAGGACCAGATCCCTAGCCAGCTAACATGCTGACTGACTGGAGGCCCACACCAGCCAGTCGTAGAGTTAAGCCAACACACGAACCCCAAACAAATGCAGCTGGGCCAAAAAGAAAAAACCTGGTAAACACATCAGGGGCCAGGTTCAAGCCAAAGGAAAGAACCCTGAAGCAATAACCACAACACCCCACAACAAAACCTAACCAGTCCCTGAACCCCAGATGGAGGAAGAGATGCCAATACATGTCCTTGAGGTCCAGGCACACCCCATCCAAGCTTTAACCTGTAATAGCAGGCAAACCTGGGCCAAAGTTGTCATGAGAAAGGTCAGGCACGAGGATTAAGCCATTCACAACTGAAAGATCAATAAAGTACCATAGGTCTGCCGAATCCTGCTTCTGAACTGAGAACAGCCAGGCTACCTATCGAAAGGACGAGGTCAGCACAACCACGTCTGAGACCAACCAATCATTTTGATTTTGATTTTACAAGCTTGTAAAAGCACCTTCATCACCTTCAGTGATTAAGTGCTTAATTGCACACTAGTTTCTTTATCAGCTATCTCACCCTGTCAGAGTAAATGAGACAGATGTATGTGAATGCATGTGTGTGTATATATGTATGCATATGTGTGTGTGTATGTATATGTATGAGTATAAAGTATATATGGAAGCTGATCTGAATTACATTTCACCTTTGTGAATGTACATTAATGACACTATGTAAAAGACACATCAAACATTTTATGTAGGGCATACGTAAATCTGTGTATCTATGTATTTACGTAAGTAGGTTAGCTTAGCATTTTAAAGGCACCGAATCACCTTCTGTGGTTGTGTTCAATAAACCCTTGAACTCTATGTTTAACATTTCTCTAACCCTGTCCATGGAGGACAGAAGAAAATGTATATATGCTGGTTAGCATTGTAAATGTGTGGCCATGTCTGTGGTAGAAAATAATAATAAAAAAAAAAAAACAATCCCCAATGACCAAAGTGCCAGGGAGTTCTCTTGCCCCAACAGATGCAACTCCAAATACTGTGCAAGGGAGGGACTGACAAGCTCCACAGAAGACCATGGGAGCTCACCAGAAATGCTCACAAATCATGGGACCAAGAGCTGGCAAAATAGGCCAGATGCCCTCCCACAACAGCACCAAAGGGAAGAATAGCAAAAGCACCAGCACAAGCCCCAAGCAGAACTAGACCTTTGCAACAAATGACTGCATACAAGGGAAGGAGGAAGTCTTCCCAGATAGCATAACAGCCCAGGAACCTGACCCACCCAAGGACCTACACCTCGACCAAAAACTGGGAAGCTCCCACCTGACCAGAAGCATTCAAAAGGGAACAGAACCCCTAGTAAACAATACCTGACCAATCAGAAGGCACAATAAAACCACTACTGAAACAACCTGAGCTACCACATCCTTGGGAAAGATAGGATGAGGCAGTCAAAGTTAAGAGACCAAGCCTAAACAATAGACCAGCACAGTCTGCTGACATAGAAGGTGGGCGGAATAAAATGCTGCCACCGCTTCCTGTAGGAGAGGGGCAAGTATTTTGGGCAAGGCCACCAGTGCTGGAACCGACTGGCAATTTTTAATTGCCAAACAATATGTTTGGCAATTATCAAGGCTTTGTATTTTGTATTGGCAACCTTAGTTTCAATATCTCTGTGCAGCCCATCCTCCTAAGGTTTCACACCGTCAAGAAAACTGTCAAATTCATGTGTCCTCTCTTAACCCTTAAACTGCGCATGGCGTATATATATGCCATGAGTAACATGTCCCACCATGCGCATGGCGTATATATACGCCAAAGGGTACCAGGCACGATTCAAACATCCCGCGGTGTAAAGGGGTCACCCATACCGTAGCCAGGGGCGATTGTAAACAGACGCCATTTTGAAAAATAATCTAGAGCAGGCCTCCTTTGTTTCACAGGCCTTAGTTAGTGGCCAGACACCATGGCGAGCGCATCACGACCCAGCGTGCGACCTCGCTCAGCACTCCGTGCCGCGCAGTCCTTGACCGAAGATGAAATTGCAGATGAATTGTTCAAGGACATTGACGAATCTGATATTGACGACTCAGATATAGATGAAGATTATACCCAGCCAGAAGAAATCGAAACAACGGAGAGTGAGGGTGAACATGTGGGTGCCACGAGGGTGAGGATGCCTCATGAGGCTACTACTCAACACCACTCAACACCACCTCGCGCCCAAGCACGTCGTTCATCTATACCACTGCACGTTTATGATATGATTGACGAGTCTGAAACAAGTGAATCTTTCTCAGGCTTTAGTGATGAAGAATCGGAGAATAGTTTTACCCCGGCTGCTAGTGCCAGTACAAGTTTCGCCGCATCAGCTGCCCGCCCAGCCAAGCGCCGCCGCATGGAACAATATGGCGACAATGAGGAACAAATTCCCTCATGTTCCAAATCTATTTCCTCATCTACCGTTCCTGCCCCTACTGTTACATTGCCTGCTTCAGCTCCTGGTCCCCGGATTCCTCGCCGTGGTGCAGCTAATGGCTCTCGGAAGCCAGCAGGTTTGTGTGTGTGTGTGGAGTGATGGGGAAGATTTTGTTCCACAAATTCCCGACTTTGACAACAGAGATGTGGGAATTACAGATCTTTTTCCTGATACTGGTGACGAAATGTGTGAAATGGACTTCTTTACTGCATATTTTGATGAGCCGCTCATGGAACACATTGTTCACGAAACGAACAGACTTGCGGCCGATCTCATCGAAGGTGAGGAAGTTTCAGAATTTTCACGACTACAGCGTTGGAAAGAGACAACTGTTGGTGAAATGTATGTGTTTTTCGCAATTTGCATGTTGATGAAACATTGTGTGAAAGACGTAATTTCAGATTATTGGAGCAAAGACAACGCTGTTCCAACACCATTGTTCGGGAAATATATGTCCCGAGACAGATTTTTGTTGATCCTACGGTGCATTCATTTTGCAAATAATGCAGACGAGACACAGGATGATCGGCTTTGGAGGGTGAGGCACGTGCTAAATGACCTGATTGGAAAGTTCCGAGATTACTACGTACCAGCTCAGAAGCTGGTTATCGATGAATCCCTTGTGCTTTTCAAAGGACGTGCTGCCTTCAAGCAGTATATTCCCTCAAAACGTCACCGATTTGGACTGAAATTCTTTGTGCTCTGTGACTGTGAATCAGGAATGGTGTTACACACGATACTTTATTCAGCCACAAATGTAGATATTCCTGCTAATGACGAACATGGCTTCTCAGGTAGTGTGGTGAAGTCATTGCTTGCACCATATCTGAACAAGGGCCACATATTGTACACAGATAACTATTATACCAGTCCCTTGCTAACGAAATTCTTGCTGGATAATAAGACTGGAGTGTGTGGAACAGTAAAGCCAAAACGAAAGGAAATGCCTGTGTTTGATACTGCTATGCAAGTTGGGGATTGCGAGGTAAGAAAAAGTGGTGCAATGCTTTCAGTGCGGTGGAAAGACAGACGTGAAGTGAACATGTTGACCACCATTCACCCTGGTACAATGGTAGACAGTGGCAAGGTGAACAGAACAACAAAGCAAATAATATATAAGCCAGATTGTGTGATGGACTACAACATTAACATGCGTTTAGTTGATAAATGTGACATGATGGTGGGTGCTGTAGAGTGTGTACGGAAAACAGTGAAGTGGACAAAGAAAATTATTTTCCACCTTATTGACGTAACAATGCTGAACAGTTACAACATGTTTCTTGTGAAGACAGGTAGAAAACCATATTTCCGTTCGTTTAGTTTTCAAGTTGTGAAACAGTTGCTAGGTAAATTTGGCAAGGACACACCTGGCATACAAAGACCCATTCGAGACCCAATACTGAACCATGCTCCTGCACCCAGGCTCGCTTACAGGGAAGCCTTTCTGATACACCAAATCAAGAAATTACCACCAACTGGAGCTCGTGCAGCAGGCCAGCGTCGGTGTGTTGTGTGTTCCAGTACCAAATTGAGGCCACAGAAACGTAAATTAGTGTTGACATGGTGGGAAGCGTGTGCCGTCCCTCTGTGCCATATCGACTGTTTCGCACAGTATCACAGTCTCCTGGAGTACTAAATGTGTAATTCTTTGGTAAATAAATGTACATATCAAGTTAACTTTTGTGTTTATACTGAAAAAAACCCAAATACATTGAATATTTCCTGTAAATTATACCATTTTGGTGGGCATACTTGTGACACTAATATGTGAACGCCTAGTGAGTTTATACCATTTTTATTATAATACAATGTCTATTGCTAATAATTGGAACAATACTAGCGAAAAAAATTTGTGTAAAATGACCCAAGAATACTGTAAATAATTCCGCGAAAATAAATTCGCAGCAACTCGGGCCGCGTGAGCGGCCGTGAGTGAAGGCTAGCTGACGTAGCACCCTTGAGCGCTCACGTTCTGTGACGTCATCGGCCAACTTCTCGGCTCAATTGTGTCATTGGTATGTATAATAGAATTTTTTTATTATTTTTCCCGTGCTCAGGACTCAAATTAACATGTTTAGAAGACGAAAAAAAAATTTGATTTTTTTTTTTTCTTGTGCACAGGGGTGTAAATGTCCCCAGGACCCCTGAGCAGTGTAAGGGTTAACCTACCAGAGGACCCAAAACAGAAAACAGGACATTGTCATTTTTGCAAGCCACTTCCAATTTCAAGTATGACAATTTTTGGCCTTTTGTAATGCATACGATCAAAATGTGACGTGCTTTGTAAGAGGACAGGTTGTTCTGTGAACTCTTCAGTTGTCTGTAAAGCTGCGTTAACTTTCGGGAGGATTTTTCTGCTAAGGTCGCAAACTGTCACCTGCTACCTGTGTCTTTTATGACCAAGGCCATGTTCTGGCACTGGTCCCCGGTAGACCACACACAACTATCTGCGACTGATGTGACCTATTTGTATGAAGTAATTTCAGGAAGCAATCTTCAGGGAACCACAAGGAGCTCCCATCTCAAATTTTTAATTTGAAGCTATCATATGTTGAACAACTGCTAGAACTTGTCTGTAAAAAGATTTCACCACATATAGCTTATTTCTCACACCTCAGCCTCAAAACCTTATTTTCAAAAGAAAGCAAGGCCCATACCTAAGTGAACAAAAAGTGCACAAACTCAAAACAAAAATGACCCGTAGAATTATTTATTAAATATGCTCAACAGATTTTCCAAGGCTGCAACTCTTGCTCCTAATGTTGCAGTCCTCTAAAAAAATAATTAAAAACATGACTGAAGTCATATTAAAAAGTCCCTTTACATCATACCATAATATTTCCCATATTCCTTAAAGGTAAAGCCAGACCCAAAAATGATTTAAAGAAATTAGGCCCATCAACTTTTCCACAGGTCCATGAACTCTGGTACTGCAAGCTGAGTCAATACACACATCACTCACTTCATCACACATTTGTTTGGGAATGTGAGTGAGTAAAATCTGGTCAGGTAAGTATGCATTGCAACCAGATATTCCCAGATTCAAGGATGCACTGTAAAGCAATATAATTTGTAATTCGTTTGACTAATGCAACATTTAAGATGGGAAAAAAGATTCAAAATATTTTAACTTAGGACAAATTAAAATTTTGTTTAGATTATTACCTGCTTAAAGCGTTCTTCTCTTCTGCAGCATTATTCTTGAACTCTGGAGTACTGAAAATAATAAACATATTACTGTTAGCAAAAAAAAAAAAAGTGTAAAATGTAGTGAAATAAAAATTTCTGGGCGAGCCCTGGTGGCTCCCGAAGTCATTATATACTGATAGGATACCATCTACTAGCTCATGTCATCCACCAAGTTCTTTAGACATACTTGGACCAGTGCCAGAACCTGGCCTCACCACTCCCTTCACACAGGGAGTGGTGACATTTACTTATTTTAACCCTTAAACCGTGCAATACGTATACTGTAGACACTCGAGTATTCGGGATTCGAATATCAGGAAAACGCCCTTATACGGCCAAAATCATGTCCGGATAAAGTTATCTATATATCTGGTCAAAATGTTCATAGGAGCCAGAAAATCAGGTGTTTGGCCGGGATCAGTGGCCTAACACTTGTTGTACACCACCACACCACTCCCTCCCTTCCCACCAAGAAGGGAGGGAGTCACCCCTTACTGCTGTTCACTTCCACTGTCCCGCGCACATTCACTTTCCCTCATTCCCTCCCTCCCCAAGAGATCCTTCTGTAGGTGGCAGTAGAGTAAGGTAAAGCAATTATCAAAAGAAGGCACCAAACTGGGAAGGCTATGTAGCACCATCAAAGTGCGAAATAATCAGTGGGCGCTAAATATCACCAAGAATGCCAATACGAGAACAAAAACACATAAGGTGAACGATATCAAAAGTATCCGATTCACATATTATTCTATCTAGGGACAAGTGACCGCAAGGGACGGTCGGAAAGCAAGACACACGCTCGTCCTGGAAGTCAGGACATTCAACAAGGACATGCACGACCGTAAGAGGGACAACACAATTTGGACGGCGCTCCATTGAGTGACCGTGGGTTAAGCGAGTATGGCTAACCCGCAGCCGTGCCAAAGCAGTTTCCCACCGCCGGTTACGGTGGTAGGAGGATAGCCACGGGGACACACTACGTTTGAGAGTACGCAGCTTGTTACTAACCACAGAGGACCAACAACCCTGCCAACGGGCAAGGATGGAGGAATGAATAACAGGATAAAAGTCGGAATAAGGTATACCTTTATGGGAGATGGGACAAGAACGGATAGCTTCCTTAGCGGCAGCATCCGCACACTCATTGTAAGAAACACCAATATGGCTGGGAACCCAGCAAAACTCTACTGATTTAAATTTACTAGAAATAAGAAACAGCCAAACTCTACTGATTTAAATTTACTAGAAATAAGAAACAGCCAATGTTGAATCTCAATGACCACCGGATGGACAGGATTAAAGGACCCTAGAGCCATGAGAGCACTATGAGAGTCAACTACAACCACAAAGAAGAAATGATAATGAGAAAGCAAGAGATGGAGAGCATAGAGAATAGCATAAAGTTCTGCTGTAAAGACGCTACCCTCCGAAGGGAGGCGACACATATAAGTACAGTCAGGAAAAACAACAGAGTAGCCCACATGAACAAATCCACAAGGGCCGTGACGAGGATTCGAACCTGCGTCCGGGAGCATCCCAGACACTGCCTTAATCTGGTGTGAGCTACTCTGTGTGAGTAGCCCACACCTCCCGCAGACTTAGACCCATCGGTGAAGATGGAAACAGTGGGAGTGCGAAGAAAAGTGCTCAAGGAAGAGGCTTTTCAGAATTGTAGGAGGGGTAAAGGCTTTAGTAATACAAGTCAAGGACGTACAAAACTTGGGAAGGGGACTCTCCACAGAGGCAAGGAAGGAACAATATGAGGAGAAACAGTAGAAATATGAACAGAAAGAGAATCCTGTAAGCGAGATAACCGGACAAAAAGAGGGAGACGATGAAGAGGAACAGGAGCTACAGGAGGAGGAAAAGTCAAAGCACGACAGAGGCGAGAGGAAGGATGTTGTAAGGACAGCGCAAGATAGAGAAGACATTAGCGATCACGGCGCTCCTGAAGAGAGAAAAAGCCCGTGTCAACATACAAACTGAGGGCGGGAGTTGAACGAAAGGCACCAGAGCTGAGACGCAACCCAGTATGGTGCAAAGCATCAAGACGGCGAAGAGTAGGAGAAGCAGAAGAGTATGCAGGGCAACCATAATCGAGTTTAGACAGGACGAGAGAGGAGTGCAAATAGAGAAGCGTGCGCCTATCTGCTCCCCAAGAAGTATGGGACAAAACCTTAAGTGGGTTAAGGGCCTTAGAGCATTCAACTCGGAGGTAAGAGATATGGGCTGACCAAGACAAACGAGTGTCAAAGACTAACCCCAAAAGCTTTGCGGAATCCCTGTACACAATGGGATGACCATAAAGCAACAAAGAGGGGACAAAGAATGACATGCATCCGAGTAAAAGTCATAGCACAAGTCTTAGACGCAGAGAACTTGAAGCCATGATCGGTGGCCCAAGACGACACGGCATCAATCGCAAGTTGAAGCCGCCGTTGAAGGAGAGACGAATCATCACCCCGACAGCAAAGGGTAAGATCATCAACCAATCTTGGGGCAACCCTAAGCCCCAAGGGCGGTACTTACAGGGCACTCAGGGAAGGTGAACCTAAGCACATGCAGCCCGAGTACCTGAGTATACTACTACTAGCTCACACGACCACCGTAAGAGCAGCACTGAAAACAAGTCACAGCACTGAGACAAGACCGGAGCTGGAGCCACACGACCGTGCATGATCCCATCAGCCGAGGAACTGGGGCGGGGATCGCCAGCGCGGGGGTCTGGGGCTCCCCCTTCCCTCTCCCGGGGAGGGGGGAGCTGTGCAGACATGCGGCGCAGCTCGTGTGAAGTCATGCTTGTTTGCTCGTTTTTCTTTTGGGAAGTTCTGTCCACTCGTTTGTCAATTTTTGTTGTTAACCAGAATAGGGGTTTGTTTTGTGGCGCTTACCTTTCTGGGTGCCTGTCCCGGTCGATGGCAGATATAGAATGCTCCAAATCACATGTGCATTCTATGGGCCATTGCTCCCCGTGCCTCTGTGAGGGGGCCAGATTCTGGCTCGTGGTCCCCGGTAGGCCTAGAACTCCACCCACATCGACTGATGCAAAATAGTTAGGATATCCATATCAGCCATGGATAGCTCCGGGGAGCCGTAGGGGCTCCCCCCAGAAAAGATAATTAAATTAGAACAAGAAAATGAAGGTCTCAAGATTGACTTTTGTAATTTAAAAGGAAGTATTTTCCAGCAAGGTAAGGAAATTACCAGTTGTTCACTATGGTGAACATAACATGCAGATATTTATATATAACGTCTATATATAGTAAATAACAGCAAAAACAGTATGGTGGGAGGAGAATGGTGGTGAGTTAGGTGAGGTGAGGGAGGGAGGGGGTGACAGCCAGTGGCAGGCTACCACTGGCTGCCACTGCCACTGCCACTGCCACTCAGCATACCAACTTAGTGGTTCGTTATGGTGAACACAAATGTAGATACTTACATATAACGTGTATATATATTGCAATAACAGCAAAAGGAGTGTGGGGGGGAGAAGCCATTTTGGTGAGGGAGGTGGCGACATCTGCATGATTTGTCATGCTGGTAGGGGTGGCTACTATGATCTTTGGGCACTATACCAGCTTAGATGAACAGTTATGGTCAACAGAACATATAGTTATATAACGTCTGTATAAGTGAATAGAAGCAAAATCAGTATGATGGGAGGAGGATGTGGGCGAGTGAGGAGTCATTGAGGGAGGGAGTGGCAGCGAGAGGCTGACTGGCAGATGTGGTGGCCACACCTCTCTGTTTTTTGACTCGTAATATCAACTTAGTGGTTCGTTATGGTGAATAAAACATGCAGATACGTATATATAACTTGTGTTTATAGTGTAATAACCGACAAAGTATTTGTTTATTGTTTTATGAACACAATAATTGAATCAATAATATGCACATCATAATTTTGAGTACAGCGATGATTCACACATTTTATTATATAAATATATCACACTACACACTATTGAATAATATTACAGGAAAAAAAAAAAAAAATATCAGAGACATTTAAATAATTAGGTATTTTCTTTGTGGTATTAGGTATAATTAGGTATCTCTTTGTGGCCACTTCTGCCTGACAGGTGGGGCTGAGCAGACCGCCTCCGATACATGTTGAGTCAGCGCCTTTTTTTTTTTTGCCAGACTTCCCCGCCCTTTAGCGGGTAAAATATGCCACTTACCTTTTTTTTTATTATTTTTCCCGTGATCAGGGAACACAAATTAACAGGTTTAGAAGAAAAAAATTTTTTTTTTTGGTTGTGCGCCGGTGGGTGACAATAGCCAAAGCCCTTAGCAACACAAGGGTTAATGTGACTATCTGGAACCATAAGCTGAATTATATGTTTCAGCTCCAATATTTTTTATCTCACTCCATATATGTTTGTATATAAAATTTTCAGGAACATGTTCAGATTCATGAACATCTGACGTAGAACATGTTTAGGTGTACAGATTCCTGAGCCTACTGGGCTCCATCAAATCTACATTTGAAACTGTGTATGGAATCTGCCTCCACTACATCACTGCCTAATGCTTTCCATCTGTTAACTACTCTGACACTAAAATAGTTCTTTCTAACATCCCTTAGGCTCATTTGGGTACTAAGTTTCCACCTGTGTCCCCTTGTTCATGTACTACTAAACAGTTACTAAACAGTTTATCTTTATCTACCCAGTCAGTTCCGCTGAGAATTGTATAGGTAGTGATCATGTCTCCCCTAACTCTTCTGTCTTATAGTGTCAGAGGAAACATGCCTGAGGGAAGTCTGAAATCACCCAGTCATTCGCACTGCCCTGAACCAATGGCAGTGTTACTGGAAATTCAAACCACCCAGAGCACTGTGGAACAGAGGCTACTATAAGCGAATGGTGGGGACTAAAATGCTGGCTAAGGAAAATCCTGCAGCACCAAAAAATCACTCTCTGGGAGTTGCAAACCATTGTCACGGATATTGAGTCTCGAGTCAATAACAGACCAATGACTTACCTCTCTGATGATAACTCACAACATGATCCACTAAGTCCATCTTATCA